CATAGGATAACCCACTCTACTACTGCCTTTTCCAGTCGATTCTGAGCCATAGCAGCCCCTTTACAAGGTTTCTTTATGGGAGCAGATGGCCCTGTCTTTCCTGTGGAGGGGTTTGAACCACCAACCTTGAGGTTAGGAATCCAATGCCTAGCCCACAGCACCATCAGGGCACCTCATAAGATAACCATCAGTGTTTTCAAGATCACTTAACTTCCTGCTAGTCTGGTCAGGTCCCAGTTAGGAAGCACAGTACTGCTTTGCCCAGGTGCCGGTGCATATTGTCAAGGGTGCCTTCCACGCTGTCAACAAGTGGATGCCAACTTATTATGACCTAGGGCAGGGTAGAAGTGCCACTGTGGGTTTCCCAGACTGTAACTCTTTATGGAAGTAGAAAAACTCATCTTGCTCCCCCTAGAGGCTGGTGGTTTCAAACTGCTGACCTTTTAGTTAGCAGCCCAATTTATAATCAGGGCCCGTCAAAGGTGCCTAGGAATTGGCAGGTTGATATAATCAGTGGGGGTGGGGATGGGGGGTTGAGCAGCAGAGTTGACCATTGTAGCTAGCCGTGCAATTAGTAATCCAGGATGGAAATGGCAAGATGGAGTTGGAACTATGCAGGGTGTGTGGACTATAGGAGGGGACAGGCTCTACTTCGAACCCACCCCCTCCTTAAGAATTGCTGGTTAATATGGAAGGTGAAATTAGGGGATATACTCTGCTGCTGGTGATCACCATGCCCCCCTCTCCAATAGTAGTATTCATTTATTTCTCTGTTATATTGCAGTATTCTGACAAGTCCCTGTACACCCAGCTGTGCTTTTACCGGCACATTTTTGATGTGGATTATGCACAGGAGAAACTTATTACCGATCATGAGAAAGGTACGTTAAAATACTGTAATTACCTTTGAGTTTAAAGTGGAAATTTGCATCATAAAAGCCAGACCTACTGTGTCAGGATGCTGGTGTGGCTTGGCCTTGCTATCTTGGCAGCAGGGCTGCGGGGGGGCTGGGGGAAGCAGGGATCCCCTGCAAGAGGGGCGTTGGCATAGGAATCCCCAGCTCTGGCCCCCATGGCCCGTCTGACATTGTTCTCTAGTAAATCAGGGCCCTAGGGGGAGGAACCACACAAAAACGACTCTGTAAATGCTATATTTTGAAAATGCTATTTTCCATAGAGTTTAGTAATTGTAATAAAGTAAGCATAGGCAACGTGATCATTGGGCCTACAAAAACCAGAAATTACCACCCAAAAAAATAGGCCTGGAGTGTGTCTCCGCTGTTCACTAAAAGCCTAGGTTCCTTTTGAAAAGAGAGGGATGGGGTGGCGCCCTTTTATTGACTCCCTCTGCAGAGAATGGAGAGGCACTGCCAACCCAGAGGATCAGGGCCAGCCAGGATCCCTCTGCCCCTGGTGGGTCCTGATAGCAGGCACGGTTGGACTTAATGGGCCTGGTCAAAGCTTTGTTACATAACTTTAAAGTATTTGAAAATGTCGTGACAAATCATGGGTTTGGGGGGGGGGGGTTATTTTTGTTGTTTGTTTCTTTTCCTCCAGCCAGAAAAATCACAGTGACAACTTTTCTATTACCTGTAAGAAATAAAAGAGACAAATTGACACATTTTTCTCATTAGTTACCTACAAAAAGCTGAATTGACATTTGCTGACAAATACTATGTTAAACACTCTGTAGGCTTCCATGTAGCTTCATTTTTATTTTGTTTTTATTTTCACTCCCCACCCCCAAAAGTCCAATAAGTTAGTTATTTTCCAAAGCATGCGGATCTCCTGGCCTTGAATTGGTCTTTGTACTTTCCATTGCCATCATAATTGGCTTCCAGTTTGTTTCCATCTACAAGATAAAGGCAGAAATGATCGATCCCCCCCTCGCCGCAAAAACAAACTGTTTGGTTTGGTCTTGCAATCCTCGAGACTTGTGAAAGAGTTTGTTAGGACCTTAGCGTCTTGTCTTTAGATGCGCTGTAAGGACTTGGGCATATTTTCGGCGAATAGGCGAAATTTAGATAGCCAAGAAATTCTCTTTGTCCTGTAATAACTAGGCTTTAGAAATTCCATTCCTGGCTAATGTCCAACCCAATATGAACTTGTAATATCATTAATAGCTGGTTTTCTTTGACAACCAAGGACAGTCCTTTTAAGGGAGTAATAAATTGAGGAGATTAAATACTGGTTCCCTGGTGAGTACATTGTACATTTCTATTAGGTCCATTTCATCCTCCTGGATATCACTGTAAGGGGTAATCCCCTTTGCTGCTGGTGTACTGTTACTCTCCAAGATTGCTCCCTAGAGATCTGTAGACTCTCCGGAGATAAAACACTAGGCTCCTCCTTACATTTGAGACTGACTCCGTTTTTCTTTTTCTTTTTGTTTAATCATTTTATTGGGGGCTCGTACAACTCATCACAATCTACACATGCATCTATTGTGTCAAGCACATTTGTACATTTGTTGCCATCATCATTCTCAAAACATTTGCTT